ACCCGGAATACAAATGTCTGCAAAAGTCGGATGTGTCGGCCGAAAACATAAAATATCCTAACTATGTTGTAAACGGGCACAAAGCGTTGCATTCACGTCTTCGGATGAACGCAGAAGAAGGAAGGGGAGAAGAAGAAGAAGAAGAAGAAGAAGCAGGCATCATACATCTAAGCCGGTGTTCCTCCACATTTTTACACTCGAGGCCCACCAAAGATAGTGTCGCGACCCACCTGATAGCTAAATAAACACGAAAGGAAACCACATGAAGATAGCAGTTTATTTATCAAATCCGATGTCACAAATGATGACCCATTTAAAAAAAAAAAAAATTTATTTATTGATGTCACTTTGATAAACCCATCAAAGATGCAAACAGTGGGGAATCAAGTGTGAGAAGCAACAATGAATACAATTCATAATCCGTTTAAATCACCATTGATTACTAGCATTTTTAGGGATAACTGACTTAAATGAAGGGGTATATTGAAAGGATAACATATGACAGCGAGGTAAAAACTGTATACACAGGGGAGCTGAATGGTCGTAGGCCACAAGAAAGGTCAACACAGACAATGAAGAGATAATACCCATACAAGCTTAAACAATTTGGTGACACCAGCTGGAAAGAGAAGGCACACCGGACAGATTAATGGAGGCTGAGGATATTTGCAGTATCTGCAGCCCACTGTCGGGCGCATTTTTTTGTTTTTGTAGTTCGATTTCTCTGTCTGATTTTTCATACCTGTTTTATGCGGTTGAATCGGGTTTCTAGGATTTGTACCTGTTTTTTTTTTAATCAGGTCGTAATCATGAAAAAGAGGTCCTAACTACCTAGTTATATCTTCTTTCTTCTTCTTCGATCCTTCTGTCGGAAAACTTATATTATGAGGCCGGTAGCCTTTATGAAAGCTATCGTGCAATCCATATCCTCTCGTATACCATACAGTTTTGTTTTCATTGTTGTTGGAACAGGCCAGATTGCGTCTCTGTTGTCAGCATACAGTTGACAGTGTTGAAGCACATGCTCAGCATTTTCGGGTGCCACGCTGCAGGGACACGTGTCCGTATTTCCTATATTTAAAAATTTGATCATTTGTTGACGAAATCTGTTGTGCCCAGTCCTTAGTCTGAATATAATACACTGTCCATCTCTAGAGAGGCGATGGAGTGAGTCTTGGGGAGAAAATCTAGTGTGGGTATCCAGCCACCTTTCTTGGATACTGGATTGTTTGAATGTTTTCGTCTCTTTGTGGGTTGAGTCGCTATTTGGTTGTACCATGTCACTGCCGCTTCTGGCCAATCTGTCAGCTATTTCATTACCTTCCAAGCCACAGTGACCTGGAATCCACTGCAGTACAGATTGTTCTACTGAAGAGCCTAAGTAAATCAGCTGTTGCGTCAAGTCTACAAACTGAGTGTCTTTTTGGTTAAACAATTGCTTGTATAACTGACATAGCATCTGTCAGAAAGACCACTCTGCTATATTTGCTGTGCTGTTGTCCATTCAGGAAAGAACATGCTGCCAGAATTGCTTCTGCTCTGTAATTGGAGGAATATGAACCTGTTGGTACAGCCTGGTTGATTTTTACACCATTTGGGCATTCTATGTATATTCCTCCTCCTCCGTCTCTTACTGCTCTCTTGGCTGAACCATCTGTACACACTTGAATCCAACTCTGGTGTGGAAAAAGTCTATTTATCTCTCCTTCTGTAGTGATTTCATATCAGTGTTGCTCATTGGTGATTTGGAGGAGATCCCTGTTACAGTAGTTCTGACTGTTGGCAGGCTATCACTGAGCCAAGAGGGGGGGGGGGGGGGCAGTCGTAGGCAGAAATTTAAGGCGACCCAGCTGGACTTTTCCATGTAGCAAAGTGGTTGAAGAACACTGGTCCAAGCCACCCCGCCCCATTAAAAACTGTTTCGTTTTCGACCACAAGTCTGAAACGTGTCAACATCAATACTGGCGCTATCTGGGTCATTTTTAAACAAGCGATTGAGATGACAGTCGCCTGTTGAGTAGAAACGCCTTGCAGGAAAACAAGAAGTGCCCACTAACAACGAATACACACAATTTCGCGGGTTTGCAAAGCTGTTTTGTGAGAACATTTTGATCTTTTCTTTGTGCGCTATAGCTAGAGCTGTGTGATAGACAAAGACAGTCAAGCCGGCAAAAAGTACCTAGGCCACTTTTGCTGATTTCAGTGTCGCGTCTGCTAACAAAACTTTGCGGTCGTGGCTGTTGCTCACTTTCTGCGGGAAGACAGGTAGAGTTTTCTGTTATTTTATATGTTCGGGTGCATGAAAAAAAAAAAAAAAGCGCTATATACGTTGTAAAATAACTTGTGTATGACGGTTAAACGCGAAAATAAAAAAGCATAAACAGAATGCTAAAAACATACCTCGCATATGATATACCTACCTGTCCGTTGGTGCCTTTATTCGGTTGTGTTGTTGTACCTCGATTCATGACTAGACGGCGTTATTGTACGTTAAATTGTTTTAGTTTATGTTCTTTTCTTTCATGGAAGTGTCTGTGTAGAGATTCAACTTAATGAACTTTTACAGCTCATACTAGTTTACTAACAGACCGTTCCATTCTGTCTGACTGACTGACTGACTTTCTACCCCACCAGGACATTACACAAGCGATAAACACCCGATGACACAAAGTGCCACCATGCGGATGAGGATCGCTGTGGAGAGGTCCCAGAAACCGCGTTCAGACAATTGGTCATATTTATGGCCTGCCCAAATTGCGGCCCCTGGCAAAAGCCAGGGTGGAGCTTCAAATAAAAAATTTCATCCTGAAATGGATGATAGATGCATAATGGGGGAACTATATCCATTCTGTCTGCACAGCTGGTGCTTATATTCACCCCTCTCCCCCACTACCTCCACACTATTTTTTCCATTTCTGGTTCATGGCCAGCTTCCCACGTTTAACTCTTAGAAACCCTTAAGCTAGTGTAAAATTCATGACAATTCAGTTTTGTTGTTGTTGTTGGAATATTGGTTGCTGACATGTATCAAAGGTTCACCATGGGGTCAGTGGACATTGGCCACCGGAATGGACAGATTTTGGGTCGGTCTCCTTTGATCATATCAACACTACTCAGGGCTCTTGATTGGGTACCATGCTCAGCCATTTTAAAAGGCGCACATAACCTAGTCACAGTTATAACCTAAGGTTCTCTGCTCAGAGATTCTGGTTAAACATGATGCCCCTCCCCCCCACCCCAGCAAAGCACCTACCTACCATAGGGCTATTGCCAGTTGCAAAACAATCCGACAGACCTGTAGTTAAACTTGCTCAAATTAATAAATAACTCTGCATGGCTTCTGGGGCCCCATTTTGGAGGAAAAAAAAAGGATAAACCAATGTTCTCTCTCCACCCCAACAAGCATGTCATATAAGGCAATAATGAGGGGTTTGTTGAAATTAAATGTGTTGGGCTGAAAGGTGCTCATATCACAGCCTAGCTGTTAACCCAGGGGGTTTAGCATCAGAGGCCTAAGGTTGTAGTGCAATGTTGAAATGTCACAAGTATAGCACATTAAAAGAGACCATACTAATAAGTGTTGCACAACATATACATATTATACATCAAAGTGACCAAGGACTGTTAAGGAAAAATATTAGACTAGTGTTACAGAAATAAAATGTGTTAATAGTGCATTATTAGTAAATGAACAGATTATATGTTTAGAGAAATTGGTAAAATGAAATAATATTTTTTCCACTTACCGCCATGGCAGTCAAGGAAAACTCCATAAAATATATCCAAAATGAACGTGAACCACTTAGTAATGTATAAACAAAATATATATATATAAATATAATCTGTCCATTAGATCTTGTTCCAGAGAAACTTTTAAAACATCATAACAGAGCACACTATTTTGGTAAAGAAATATGACTTTAGAAAACAATTAGTATTTGTACAAAAAAGAAACTATATAACACTCAGTTTGCCCATAATTTTATAGCCTGTGTTCCCAAATTATAAGAGAATCATGCTAGATTTAAATGACACTGAAGAATATTGCCCTTTTCACTATTGTTTATTCTCTTTGTACCAGCCGACTTTGTTATCGTTGTATGCTTTGTGTGAGGTTTATATCAGAGCTATCGCTCATCAAAGTTTGACTCTATCAGATGTAGCTTTAGAAGATTAGCCCAGTATTTTTATAGACTTGAATATTGAATGCTTTCTATACTTTTGGGCGTTTTCTTTGATATTCCTATTATGCATATTGCTGTATCATACTTTATTAATAAAATACAATTGCTACATGAACGATGAGTGCTTGGAAGGACCTAGTATAAGACAGGCCTGCATGCCCGATTTGAGACCCTTTAAAAATAAAGTTTGTTCAATCATTAGTTTGTTTGCCATCTTATAGATGTGTTGTAGATGCAAGTAGAAAAACATCATTTTTTTTTCTATTGTAAGAATCTTCCTTGGTAGTAGTAGTAGGAGCAGCAGCAGCAGCATTCACATAAGTAATATCAGGTTTTCCCATGTGGGCTCCAGGGCCCCATTTAGGGGGTTGGGAGGGGGGAGAATAGACCCTCTGCTTCACTAACATGCCTGTTATGAAAGATGACTAATTAAGGGTATTGTCTGTGATGTCTGCCTCTGTCTGACAGGCCAGGACCAACAGTCGGTATACAAATATGCCAGATCTGTGCAAATTATGAGTACACAAAACTCAGGTTCTGGAACAAGACTGCAGTACAGAAACTGACAAACAAGCAGAACTTTCTATCAGAGTTTATGGCTGGTGAATGTAAAGAAGAGCAAGATATCTTATTCAAGACTCAGTGTTCATTATGTCTTCTTTTTTTGGCATAATATTCTCAAGTTTCTTTCATTGAATATACACTTCTTTAACTGGCATACTTTCAGGATCATTGATGTGAGTGTAATCCTAACCCACAGAAAAGTAGACGACCTATACAGCAGTAGATTGTTACTGACAAGATTACCTTAAAAAAATGATATCGGTAGACATAAAGAGAAACTTTCGGCAAGGTTTGAACCTGACTCAAAGTCACCTGCAGCAGATCTGTGAGCTGAATGTTGACTCAAAGCATCCTACTTACAGAATGACAAACATAATTTGCACTATTGGTATGTATTCTTTGTTTAGTAGAGTGTCATGGTAGCATAGTGGTTATGGTCAATGTTCTCACTCCTCAAAGCAGAATTTGGGGGGGAAAAGGGGGGAGGAACTTAATGGAGCTATGATGCACAATATTAATGTGTTTACCTCTCTTACTCAAGCTGACCTCATCTTCACTTGGTGGTTCCTGTTCTCCCCAGTAATCAAGTGAAAGGTTGGGGAAACTGGATGAGGCAACAAATGAGATTCATCAAAAGATTTGGTCTTGTTCCGGGACTTGGGTTTTGTGTGCACATTCGTTTCAGAGACCTTGCTTAGTTTTATGCAGACTGTTGGTTCTGTATTAGGCAGATGCACACTGACTTTAATCACCTTAAATCAGTCACCTTTTATGACGTGCTTGAGTGGGGGGTCCATTATTTTCCCTCCGAAAATGGGGACCCAAGAACCCACATGGAAATACGAGGTCGTGAATAAACACCTTTCTGTCTTTCCAGACGATAGTGTTGTCTTGTTTAAAGAGAGATATGGAAATTAAAGTCAGTTAGGACCAGGGATGAATTTCCTCCGTTTCAAAGCAAAAAAACTTGGGCAGTACTGTAGAGATCATGTATTGCCATCTCAGGCTGACTTATTTACTTTAAAGCAATATAACACCAGTAGGTTCTGAACAAAGCAAGATAACACCAGTGTCAAAGCGAGATAACACCAGTGTTCTGAACAAAGCAAGATAACACCAGTGTGTTCTGAACAAAGCAAGATAACACCAGTGTGTTCTGAACAAAGCAAGATAACACCAGAGTGTTCTGAACAAAGCAAGATAACACCAGTGTGTTCTGAACAAAGCAATATAAAACTAATGTGTTCTGAACATAGCATGCTGCAGGAGCTGCTGGATCAGAAGAGCTGTCACATAATGCACCACTGCAGGAAGAATCTGAGAGAGCTGATATCATCAACACCGTGCAGACTAGACTGCCAAATAATGATGAATCTCTGATGATAACACATTTACGTGACTAGGGAATAAAGTCTGGTGAAGGACGTCTATGCATCTTTGAGGTCAGGATAGGAGATATAACCAGCTTTCCATGGGAACAGTCAGTAGAGGGCCTTGGTGTCATGGTTACATTGCTCAATGTGCATGGTATCACCCAATGTGAAATGTCAGTTGTAATAACCTAACTTTTTATTTCACTGTTATTAACTTTCCATCGTTCCGGATGCGGGCAGGTCCAGCTTGTGATAGCACTGCTATTTTGTGTGAGCTCATTGAGAAGGGAATGAATATCTGCAGGTTCAACCTGGCCCATGTTGATCACAGTGTAAGAACAGCTTAATTCTTTCCTTGCTATATTTTTATATTGACACGATTCTGTAGAAGTTAATTTGCCTTTCCCTAAAGAAAAGTGTCATCCCACGGCTGATAATGTCATAAGAGTATGAACTTTGTTTTTGCATATGCTAGGTGATAACATACATAACAGAGCTGATGCCCCAAGCCTCACAATTTACAATAGAAATGTTAAAGATGATCGAATGGTTTGACCATGTAACAAGACTGGCAAAAGATAAGAGTGCAACAGAGAGCAATGCTATTCGGAACCAGAGGTAAACCATACAGATAATTGACCGCGACAAAAATGGTGAGGCGGAAAAGTGCTATGTATGAAGCGAACGGGAGGGCCTGATCCAAAGATCTTAGTTGCCCTGATGCTAGAGGCATTCAGAAACAGAGAAAAAGGAGAAGAAAAAAGAGATGGAAAAACTGAGGTACCTGGGCATCACATTTTTAGGAGGGTGTCATTCAGCGATCGTGTGGAGGCATTTGCAGCAAAAAATGATGTTAACCATGAACCAGCACTGGATTATTTTTGTGATAGATATTAGCATTTTATTTTTTCTATGACAGATTGAGAACTGGAGCCGGACTTTTGTCAGACATGACCTTGGCTCATAGTTCCATCCAGCCTTGAGTGGATGCTATGTATAGTCCTGGAAAATAAAGGTTGATGTTGACAACATCACCCACCGAGTGCTGATTAGTCTATAAAATACAGGTCCAGCCCTATATGCCCAACATGCTTGAAGGTGTGGACAAGGGACCTTTACTTACTTACTTAACTAGAATACATACTGGGAGTCAGCTGTTAAAACTCGAAAAGAAAAAACCAATACAGAATGCAGCTGATTCTAGGATGTACAAGAGAACTCCAGTAATCTGTATGTGATATATATACTTGCACTGCTAGTTTTTGCAGACAGGCTCAAAATGCTGCAAGCTAGGTCATACCTCAGGGTTACCTTTGACAAAACCACTTTCTTCACAAAACCCTGGACACAGCTAAGAGCCACAGGCTGATAAGAGGAAAGACTTGGATGACACAGGCAGAAGACACAGTTAGAGATACGTGTATGCTGTAAAACATTGGAAGAGGAGAGAAGCAGATCAAAGTTCAGAGCACAAATCAGACTTGTGTAGAGTTCTAATCACACTGGACTGGGAGTGCAGAGATTGGCCAGCAGGTACTGCAGAATCAGAAATTCAACAATTGATTCATGACAATTCCTGCCCAGTTGATGTGATTTTCTATACAAATGGCTCTGTGATGAGAGGCAGGACAAGCACATGGGGATTCACTGTGGAAGCAAATGGACGCAACACTTAGTGCAACAAAGCCTAGCAAATGATACTACAGCATCTAGTCTAAGATTTTTTTTTTAGTGGTTTGTCATCGTCAAAAATAAAGCAGATGACTTCAAACCTGCCTGTTTGTTCTGTGGCCCGGTGGTTTGACCCGCTGGATATTTATAAATATTTCTTCTGCTTTTTTATTCTTTTCTTTTAGTTTCTTAGGGTAGATTTTAAGAGAATTTATATGTATTTTTAAAACACAATTTAGAGAAAAAAAAATTATTAAAGATTTCTGTGGATGAAAGTTTTAAGAAGTAAATGATATGTAAACTCTGTTGAGAAGTACATGATATGAAAACTCTGTTGAGAAGTACATGATATGTAAACTCTGTTGAGAAGTACATGATATGTAAACTCTGTTGAGAAGTAAATTATATGAAAACTCTGTTGAGAAGTAAATGATATGTAAACTCTGTTGAGAAGTAAATGATATGAAAACACTGTTGAGAAGTACATGATATGTAAACTCTGTTAAGAAGTAAATGATATGTAAACTCTGTTAGAAGTAAATGATATGAAAACTCTATAAAGAAGTAAATGATATGCAAACTCTGTTAAGAAGTAAATGATATGTAAACTCTTTGCCAACATTATTATGTATGTTTTTTGTTACGTCAACATTTTTAAATATGGCATGCAATGTAAGTTGTATTTAGAATGACACAATGAGCTGTTATTAATGGCTGAAAAACACTTGAATAAATTTAAAGCCTTTGAAATCTAAATAAACCAACAGCCAGCATTATTCCTCTTCTTAGTCTTTCCATTAATAGCATGAATAGTTAGAAAAAAATGAGGACAAACATAATAGTTTATGTATACTTTCAGTACCATTTGTCTGCCTTACACAATCTGAGGGATGCCATCTCTAAATCAAAACACAAAGTGCACTCTCAAGTAGCCACAGCTGTTGATATCTGTGGCCCTGCTGTACGAATTGGCAAATTTAGGAAGGTAAGTTTATGTTGTGCATTTAAAAGTGTCCCTCTGGGTGTGGGGTGGGAATGTCTTGACAGTTAAATATCCAAAACTCTATGTGGGTTGTGGGGCCCCATTTTTCGCAAAATAAGATAGATGCACTGTATAAGGTGACTAATTAAAGATGGGGGTTGTTTTCTTTGAAGTCGGAGTGCATCTGACTGAGAGGCAAGGAACCAACAGTCTGCATGCAGAAATGCTAAATTTGTAAAACAGATGTGCATGCAAAACTCAAGTTCTGGAACAAGACCAAGTCCAGAAGTGGAAGAACAACCAGAACTGTCTGCCAGAGTTAACAGTTGGGGAAGGCTAAAAAGAACAAGAAATACCAAAAGCCTGTGGTGAACACTTTGCCAGCTCAGTCCTAGTACTAGCCAGCCCTGATGTGTCATACTCCAATAGAGCATAGGCCCTGGTCCAACTCACGCCAGGTTGTCCCATCCTTTGCTGTCATGTGCAGTTCCCCATCTTTTTCACTTCACTCTCTAATTCCCTTCTCCATGAGTTTTTTGGTATGCATTTATTTTTTTATTTTACCCCTGTGGGTTCCAGTGTAATCACCTTTTAGGTATATTATCGTTAATATATTGCTTATTCAGGATCTTCATGATTACCTACATGCGTGTATGACTCTGTATCTTTGAGTGGAATATCACCAAGAGATTGGATTCCTGTTTGCCTCGCCTATTCTCATTGTCTTTATCTTGTTCCTATGGATTTTTAGATTCAGTTGTGGTCTTTTATCAGGTATGAATAATTTAGGAGATATATTTTTCATCAGCAAAGTCCAGATCAACTGGCAGCCCACTGTCCAAATTTGGCCTGGAAGGTCCTAGCAAGCGATCCACAGATCAACTCGCTGTTTTGTATGGGTCCAATTCATGTGGTAACTGTTGCTATCTCTCTCTATAGCCTATCATTATCATCATCATCAATTTCCACTTTTGCCATTAAGCCTGATGGGAAGGAAAAGTTTGCAATCCAGTGCTCAATGGGTAACAATGACTACTGTCATTCTGTGTGGGTGTATGTTGGCTTTAACTCTTTTAGTATTAGAATTTTATAGTTGATGCCTAAAGGAGGAAAAAAACTACAGCAACAAACTCATGGGTATACTACATCCACAGGAGCTAGGTATGCAACCCTAGTAGGAGTATTGTGTATTGTTGGGTGTTTTACTGTGTCCTTGTCAAACATACAATGTACAAGCATAAAATTAAGTGTTTAAGTACAGCATCTATGTTTAGGTATAGCAGCTGTGTTTAGGTATAGCACTGGTGTTTAGGTATAGCACCTTTGTTCAGGTATAGCACCAGTGTTTAGGTATAGCTCCGTTGTTTAGGTATAGCACCTGTGTAGGTATAGCAACTGTGTTTAGGTATAGCACATGTGTTTAGGTATAGCACCAGTGTTTAGGTATAGCACATGTGTTCAGGTATAGCACCTGTGTCTAGCTATAGTGTCATTACTACATTATTTATAATGTCCTATTAGTGATGGTATTGTGTTATAACTAATTACTCCCAACATTTTCCCTCTTTCCAACTCCAGGATATAACACAACCGTTTTTCCTGAAAAAGGGAGAGAAGTGCATACTAACCAGTGATGAGAGTTATGCTCCCAGCTGTGAGAGAGAGATAATCTATGCTTCAAAGAGCTTCATTAATAAAGCAGAAATTAACAGTCACATTTATATTGAAGATGGGCCACTCTGTTTAATGATCCAGGAGAAAGGTGATTAATGCACTCAGTATATAAAATTTACGCTTGTATAACATGCTCTCCAACTTTAGCAGAACTGCAGGGTACACCTCTAGGTGTAGCAAATACTGGTGCCCCAGTGATAGCTTCTTTGGAGGTTGAACAGGCTGTCTGGGATTGGGCTTGTTGGTCTGCTGTCCAGACTGAGATTCTTTAATTTCAGGATGGTATGGTAAACCTCAGGGAGCCTCTGTGGTGTAGCAGCTAGACCAGGGCTATTCAACTGGCAGCCCACTGTCCAAATTTGGCCAGGAAAGTCCTAGCAAGCGATCCACAGATCATTGCCAGTTGTCTTTTATTAATGATGTGTACATGCTGGGGCGCAGGCCTCTGGCCCCTAACTCTTCCCATTTTCAAAATCTTGGCCCATCAGTAAACTTAGTCAGTTTGCCCTGGGCTGCCTGCAGATCAGAAGGTCATGGGTTTGTGTCCTGATGGAACCTGACTTTTTTTCTCTTTCAGAAATGACCTTGGCTGCCAGGTCAACCCAGCCTTGAGTCGGTACCAAGTAAAAGTCCTGGGAAGTAAAGGTGGCTGGCGTGATGCCCACTACATCACCCACCAAGTGCCGATTGGTCTATAAAATATAGGTCTAGCCCTATATGCCCAATACGCCCGAAGGCATGAAAAACGGGTACTTTACTCACTTACTTCACAATACCATACCCTAAGTTAACAGCCTAGAGGGGACAACATGATTGATCAATGATCGACTGCAGGATACACCACTTTGTGTACCCATCACAGATGCCCTAGTAATCTTCTTGGAAAGGTTTAATATGGTATACATAATTTGCCTTGTTATTTGCTAACTAGGATGAGATTTGTGTAGTCTCAGTAGGTGGTAAATCCTGCAGATAGAACAAGATAAATGTATATGCAGCCATGGGCTCTTTAGTTACAAAGCAACCGTGGAACTTCCTGAAAGACCTGGAGTGGATCCCTGGCAACAGGCTCCTCATTTGTGGGGACTTCAGTGCATGGAACAATGAATGGGGCAGCACTGGGGAAAACTGACAGGGAGTTGCCCTTTTAAATTATGGGAGGCCAACTAGAATGGCAATAAAGCCTGGCGATGCAGACATGGCTATTTTGTTACCCAGTCAGCAGTACTGGACACCAAGTGGACTGTCCTGGGCAATCATCAAAATGGCCATCTGCCATGTTTGGTATTGATCTTCAAATCCAGGAAAGTCAAGGCTTCAAGAGCTCATAAGCCTTTTAAGTATGAGCGAACTAACACCCTTCTTGGACTCCTCCGACAGAGGGCATATAAGAGGACCAGCAGATCTACTTTTGTACAGCCTGCATGGTGGACATCAGAGGTTAAACAGGCATGCAAGTTAAAGAGAGCTGCAGTCAAGCATTTAGAGAAGGTGCGACAGACAGATAAGCTCACAGGGGGAGTTGGAGTGCGTGGATAGAGATAAGAAAGATAAGATACTTTTTTTAGCTTTGTGCGGCAGAGGCCAAAAAAAAAAAAGCAAAATGGGAGCATTTTATTGATGAGATTAGGGATGATGAGACATTTGGAAAGTTTTGGAAGCTACATAGGCAGATGCTCATGAAAGATCGGCCCAGCGTAGTAGGAGCAGTTCATAGTGATGACAGTTTGCTACTAACCACAGATAAAGAGAAGGGGGAGGCTTTTCTGAAGAGGTTTATTTCACAGTAGACCACAATGATGGAGATAACAGAGATACAGTTAGAGAAGATCTGGCAGCCATCTTAAAGAACAAACATTATGAAGACATCAAACAGGTGGAAGATGTAAAACATGTTCTGAAAAGGGTGAAAGACACTGCACCCGGGCCCAACGGGGTTATTCCAACATGAAAGACATAAGTGATGCAAACCTGTTGGAGATGACTGCTTGTTTCAACCAGAGACTTAGGACAGCTTCAGTCCCAGAAAAGTGGATGCACAGCTACCTGATTCCACTTCCTAAGCCTGGCAAAAATCATTCAACACTCAGCGGCTTTAGGATCATAACCTTACAAAACACCTTTGTTAAAGTGTTGGAGAAGATAGTGGCAGGTAAGCTACAAGATTTTTGGGAACAGAGACATGGTCAAATGCAACCACTTTGCCTTTGACACCTTTGAAGGTTTCCAGAACAGACAGGAAACAGTGGCAGCGGCACTTGATTTAGAAGATGCTTACAACAGAGTAAGATACATTATCTTGATAAAAGCGCTTATAGAGTAGGGAGTCTGTCCTTGGTTGGTGATGTGGATAGCAGCTGTTTTGTATACTCACAGGGTAGCTCTCCGCCTGGGTCCATGGACCTCTGAAACATGTATTATAGCTCCAGGACTACCACAGGGATCTGTAATTTTACCTGTACTGTTCAGTGATTTTCTGAGCAAGATTGCATACCTGGAAACACCTGGAGTTGGCAGAATATTGACATATGCAGATGATGTACTCGCTTATAGGAAGGGGTGAGATAAGAATCAGATAGCTCAAAAGTAAATAAGGTGATCGACTTGTGTACAGAGAACATCAGTCCTAATAGTGCTTTTGACAGAGCTCATCAACGAATGTTACATCTCCTCCCGACACTTTGCTGAGGTACAGTGTGGAAGAGAAGAAGAAGAAGTAGCTTGTACCTAGTATGGTTCAAGAGGCAGAAAAGGATCTTTGTATGTACTGAGTAGGAGCAGTGGTAATATTGTTGCTGGTTGACTAGTATAGCAAGACTGTGATCATAGTGGCAAGCAGGTTTTTTTTCTTTTTGGCCAAGTGTTTTTACAGATTAACAATATTTTTTTTTTCAGGATAGATTTAATAGTGAAAACATGCACCATTTTGGGTGACTACTGGCAGCTTTTATTCTACAAAAAAAAAAAAAAAGTCCAGGTGGCAAGATTCTTCTTTCTGATCCATACGGCTCTGATCGACCCAACATTGTAATTTAAATAATGGCTTAGTTCAAACATTTCTGGAAATTATCAAAGCAGCAAGGAGACTATATTCAGTGTCCTAAAATATGTAAAGACTTAACACTGGACAATCCATGTCTTCCGTGGGACGACTGTAAATTGTTGCATATGGTATATATATAATTCTGACTCACTTTTGCCTGCTAGAATATAGGTGTGGTACATATTATATGTTATATTTAAAAACAAAAATAGCAAAAGACATGGTACCAGGATGGAGGGGCAAGGACCGACCAACACGAAGATGGGCACCGGATATAAGTGACTCCCCTAATATGAAAGAAATCAAGGCAGGAGAGCTGGCAAGAGACCTCGTTTCTGTCAGGTATACCTATGATGAAAGTGACATTCTGCAAAAGACTCTCTGCATGATGATGGCATATGATCAGTAAAAATATATTTGATGAATGTCCAGAACTAACAACCAGAATTTTCTGCTGGAGTTTACAACCAGTGAATGTGAAGAAGAAGAAGAAGAACCTGTGATATCTTAGGGCTAGTACATTGATCCACAGGCTTGTTAGTTCTGGTTTCAGTGTTCAGCTTTTACAAATATGTTCAGTTTTAACAGATATGTTTAGCTTTTACAGGTATCTTCAGTTTTTACAGATATGTTCATCTTTTACAGATATCAGCAAATTGTTGCTTCCATCAAAACTGGATAAAAGCAGCACTTTGAATAGAGCAGCCCACAGCTGATGAATGATTGCCCAAACGATGGCAATGGATTTAGAATGTGTAATCAAATATTTCTGTGTTTAATATATCACTATCACTGTTTATGAAAAAGGGGAGATAAATTTGCATTACCCAGTGACCAGAGTTATGCTTCCATAATTTAAGACTCATTGCTTTCATGTTTGTGTGTGCAGATGGTACCAGCCTTAGATGCCTGGTCACTCAAGAAGGGGAGATTAACAGCTACAGTCACTGCCATGTTCCAAGGACTTTGCCATCTGACAGTGTAGAGCTGACAGACAAAGATAAGGAAGATATTGATTTCTGCATTCAACACAAGGTGAGTGCTTGTCTTTCCCTTCTCCTTCATACATCTGTAGACATCTTCTTCTTGATGTGTGTTATGTTGTCACATTGTTATTGCACACAGGGCATTCCCATATTTGCTCAGTTTTCCAATGCAGCAGCCACCACGAGGTACCTATAATTTCCATCTGTCAGGATGGCTGAGTATTCAAAGGTGCCAGACTCAAGTTTCATAACCTTCCCAGAGTGTCTGGGATTAGTTTTCTGGTCCATAAACGTAAGCGTGGGTTTAAATCCCACTTCTGAATTACTTCTGTGTCCTCGGTAGTATAGTGGTAAGTATCCCCGCCTGTTACGCGGGAGACCAGGGTCCGATGGGGGGGATGGGGGCTGTGTGTCTTGAGGGGTGTCCGCCCCAAGTGATGGAGGTGCTGAGTTCAAGCCCCGGTGAAGGCTGGGATTTTTTTCATGTGAACTTCTAGTAATTTCTAGTAATTTCCCCTGGTCACTGGGTAGTAAAATCAGACGCCCATGTGTATTATTGGGCATGTAAAAAATCCCTTGGCAGTTGGAAATCGAAAAGAATAGCCTAATGGTGCTGCCTGGGTAAAATTTGGAGTTAAAAATCTACCCAAAGTATTTCATATTATGATCCTCGCCGGTATGACTGAGTTTGTGCACTGCGCTGAGATTCTTCAGACTTGGGCTTGAGTTAGAAGTAGAACAGAGCACTTATGGGTTACACCCGTGTGGCATGATGTTGATCCGTTGAATAAACATAAAGATAAACTGATTATCCCCATGAAAAGTTGGATATAATGCCTCCTATCTTGGTCTTGTTGATGGCACTGATTTTCTTCACCATGCTTTGCTCTCAGGTCAGACATTCCTGTAAGTGTCAAAGATTTATCATTAATCCACAAGTCTACATACAGCATTGATGATATCAGCTTTTTTCATATAGACCATGCCATGACTGGCACCTTTCCATCTTTCCAGATGATGGTGTAATATTGTGCTATGAGAAGGCATGGGACTCACAGTCCATGGCGAATGTGACTAGCAAGACCTGCACATTAAGAAAAGTCTTCCACAATTATAGCATAGGATTTCTTCACCATTGTTGGTAATCTTGGTAATCTTAGTTCCAGCTTCATAGCAAATGGGTCACCCCATAGTTGCTCCGCTCCTGTGCCAACGAAAATGCACAGTTCTTCACCATTGTTGTGTACATTTTTGTTTAGTGTGTTTCTTCTCGTAAACCTCAGCTGTCAACCTTTCTTCGATAATTTCTTTCTTTGTTCTTATTCACTTCTTGATGTGCTCCCTGCACACAACATGGTCCATGGCATTTAGTTCCCACGAGTCCACCTCAGTACCTGTATCATTCATGTCCTACTTGTACACATATTTATATCATAGAAAAGGTTGACCAGGAGTCGCTGTGGCAGAGCGGCTAGATGCTAGCTGCGGATTGGAAGGTTGTGGGTTTGCTCCCTGGCCGAGCCGGACTTTTTTCAAACATAACCTTGGCTCCCAGGTCAACCCAGTCTTGAGTGGGTACCGGGTCCAGTCCCGGGAAGTAAAGGTGGCCGGCGTGATGCTGACCACATCACTCATCTTGTGCCGATTGGTCTTTAAAAATATAGGTCTAGCCCTATATGCCCTATACGACTAAATTCATGGAAAAGGGTCCTTTACTTTTTTTTTTTTTACTTTACTAAAGGTCGACCTCAACATTTTCTACCCACCTTTAATTTATCATAGAGCATGTCCTTAGCCATCCACCATTCTTCCAGGTCACCAGTCACCTAAACCTTCGTAGATGGAGCATTGATAAACTGTTGTAATACAGTCCATGCCATATGGCATTAGTAGTCACTTCTGTCTTGTGTACTGTCATTTCTGTCTGTCTAGCGTTCTGTCGACTATTTCTGATACATAGTTCTTCCATACCTTGATGCCAAGCTGTCTACCATTTTCACTGTTGATCTTTCTGATCTTTCACCCACAAATCACTTTGCTCCCACGCTGCTGAATATCACACAGCACCATCATTCACTGCCTTGCTGACAAGCATGGCTCTTCATGTCTCTCTGCAGAACCCAATTCTGGCTTTGGTTAACTCATTTGAGCACTAGAAAATTTCACTGAATAGACCCTGGACAAGCCTCACCAGAGGAATGGCAAAGCAGACATCTAATAAAACTGTTACTGATGTACCCTCAAAACTAGGACTCTTTGCTGAAAGTCTTCAGCCAGCTGCTGAAGATGAGCACAGAGCACATATATGAATGTTTTGAGTGCTGTGATGTTGGTGCTTGACCACCAGTTGAATAGCCCTAGCCTAACACCTAAGTTATCTGACCTCTAATTATTTCAGCGTTTTTTTTTCCACAGATGGACATGGTGTTTGTTTCCTGGGTGTGGTGCCCAGAGATTATCATTAAAATTCGAGAGCACCTTGGTGAGGCAGCTTCCAACGTCAAGATCATTGCAAAGATTGAGAACTACGAAGGCGTTAAAAGGTGAATTAGAAGTTGAATTTGCTGTGAACATTTGTTAACATTGACATTCAGGTGCTAAAATCATGCTGTGGTGCCAACTGGAACCATAAAGGATACAATAGTAACCTTAAACTCTTTCATATAAGAGGTGATTAAGGATTGTCTTGAGCGCAGCTGCCTCTTTTCATAACTCTTTAAAAGGTTTAGCAGAGTTATTTAAGGGACTGTGCCATTTGGAGATAGAAGGCAGAAGGGGAAGAAAAAATGGAAAGCTTACCTGCAAAAGATATTTATAGTATATGTGGATTTGGGTATGTGGTGGCTAAAAGTCTGAGATCATCTAGTAAATAATTCGTATTTCCAGACTATTATAGAGTATCGCGTCAAATGCTGTTTTAGGGCACACTTAATGCAGTCACTGCTGTCTCTTTCATCATATTCACATTACAAACTGAAAAAAAGAAAAATGTGGTTTCTTGTCTCGTTTAGTTGTTTCAGGTGTATAATCTGTAGATTTTATGTTTACAAGAAAGTATGCTTAAAAAAAATACTTTTCCTCATTTAAAGAGTCATTACTTTAAGAAGAGAGACTGAGCTATATAGGGTAAAACTCTGTGAAATGAAATGGATCTTCTGACCTGTAAACATTTGTTAAAATTATGTTTCTTTTGTATATGTAACAATACTTCAACCCTCAGTACGACAGGGGATTTTTTTCTGTCAGGACAAAAATAAAATTCTCACCTGCACAGTCGTAGCGACAGCACTAGCCATGCAGCCGTAGATCCCCAGGCTCAAAGACCCCCCATCTGTACAGTGAAAGTGGTATAATAAAGGCATTAATTGGTAGTATTGCATGTTAGTGGAATGATTTTGTTTTCCCCCCTAGAATTGATGAAATACTGGCAGTGGCTGATGGAATTTTGGTGGGGAGAGGTGACCTGGGCATTGATGTTCCACCAGAGAAGGTTGTTTTAGCTCAAAAGATGATCATCGGTCGAGCAAATATGGCTGGGAAACCAGTCATCTGTGCAGCACAGGTAAGACCAGACTGCAGTTATCAGTTCAGTCAGTCAGATTCTGTCTCAATGATTTTTGGCATAAATAGTTTTCCAGAACCTCTGTCTTCACCCTAGAGGTACAGTTTCTGATTGTTTGTGTCAATCTCTCTTGGTGTCGGCCTCCCACTTGTATCACTATGTGCCTCTTGCTTGTTTGTCTTCAACATAAAAATATATAATAGATAAATATAATTACTATTTAAATATAATGTAAATAAATATAAATAGATAAAAATACAATTGAAGAGTGAAAGTTGAGTGTCTGGAAGGGCTGAATGTATGACTGGCAATTTTTGACCTTTGAAAAATAAAGTTTCATTCATTCATTTGTTCTTTCAACTTTTCCATCCAGAATGGATTTTGAAAGAGTGTTATATCTTTTAACATGGGTAAAGTATTTCAGTTTTTTCCGTTTGATTTCAGCAGCTCTTTTTATCCCAGTCCCTTTAGCGCCACTGTATTAACTTTGTTTCCTTGAAATGTGACCTATTCTTCTGTACATCCACATTGACAGAGACTCAATTTGATTTTCCAATCGCTTTTTCATCACCAAGGTTTCTACACCATACAGTTATTTGCTTGCAAAATATTTAATTAGATAGAAAGGATACCAGACATGTGCACAAACATTATACTATTATTGTGGATATCAGACCTGCATGGCTATTTACCTGAGGTCCACGGTGGAAGAGAAGAGGAAGAAAAATAAGATATCAGACACATGCATTTTCACTACTGAGGATATCAGATATGAGAAGTATGGGGTTTCCATCACATTTAGTGTATTTAATTGAAAATCTTCACCATGAACAATAAGCAGCCATCAGAGCAGCTGGTGAAACATCAGATTGATTAGAGGTGCAAAAGGGAGTGAGGCAGGTGTGCATTCTCTCACCATACCTATTCAATATATATGCAGAAAATATAATTAGAAATGTCAACAGTGACCAGACTTGTGACAGTTATGATTCTGCTCAAAACTGGTGGCAACCCTATTCTGGAACTTTGCTATGCAGATGACACAGTCCTCCTTTCGAACAGCGTAAAAGGAATCGAAAATGTTATATTGTCTGTTCAAAAGCACAGTGAAGATCAAAATCTGTTCTTGAATTTAAAGAAAACGAAAATGATGTCCACAAATAAAATTGGCTGCCACCCAAAAATAACAATAAGTGATGAAGAAATTGAACAGGTCACAAACTTTGAATATCTAGACTCTATAATAAACAGCAATGAAGACTGTTTGACAGAAATTAAAAGGAGGATGGCCATAGCAATGCAAAGATTGAACAGCCTAGAAAGTCTATGGTTAAGCACCAGCAAGGAGATCAAAATAATAATTTTAAGAGTATGCATCTACCATGTAGCAACATTTGGATGTGAGTCGTGGACCATCTCTCAGTCCTTAAGAAAGAGAATAGGGGCTTTTGAGCTGAAATGTTATAGAAAGATTCTCAGAATATCTTGGACAAAGAAGAGGAAAAACACTGACATCTTGAAAGATCTGAACATCAAGGAAGATTGGCTAATAAACAGCATCCTGTCTCAAAAGCTGAAATATTTTGGTCATATCAAGCGCCACGGCGGTTTGGAAAAAATTATAGCAGAAGGCATAGTACCAGGAAGGAGGGGCAGGGGCTGACCAACACGAAGATGGGCACAGGATATAAGTGACTTCTTGAGTATGAAAGTATATGAGGTGAGAGAGCTGGCAAGAGACCGAGTTTCTTTCAGGCAGACCATGATGAGAGCGACGTTCTGCAAAGGACCTGCTACATGATGATGATGGATATCAGACATGCATGGATATATACCATTATTGTGGATATCTGACCCGCATGCATATCTAACATTATTACTTGTTGTGTTGACAGATGTTGGACAGTATGGTCAACAACCCTCGCCCAACCAGAGCTGAAGCTAGTGATGTCGCCAATGCTATCCTGGATGGTGCTGACTGTGTGATGTTGTCTAAAGAAACTGCTATTGGAAAATTTCCAGTTAAAGCTGTAGAAACATTAGCTTCTGTAAGCATCCAGAGTTTCTATTATCATCCTAGTTTCTATATTCATCCTAGTTTCTGTATTCATCCATAGTTTCTGTATTTATTCCTAGTTTCTGTATTCATTCTAATTTCTGTATTCATTCTTAATTTCTATATTCATCCTAATTTCTGTATTCATTCTTAGTTTCTATATTCATCCTAATTTCTGTATTCATTCTTAGTTTCTATATTCATCCTAGTTTCTGTATTCATTCCTAGTTTCTGTATTCATTCTTAGTTTCTATATTCATCCTAGTTTCTGTATTCATTCCTAGTTTCTGTATTCATTCCTAATTTCTGTATTCATTCCTAGTTTCTGTATTCATTCCTAATTTCTGTATTCATCCTTAGTTTCTATATTCATCCTAGTTTCTGTATTCATTCTAGTTTCTGTATTCATTCTTAGTTTCTGTATTCATTCTAGTTTCTGTATTCATTCCTAGTTTCTGTATTCATCCTTAGTTTCTATATTCATCCTAATTTCTGTATTCATCCTTAGTTTCTATATTCATTCTTAGTTTCTATATTCATTCCTAGTTTCTATATTCATTCCTAGTTTCTGTATTCATTCCTAGTTTCTGTATTCATTCCTAGTTTCTGTATTCATTCCTAGTTTCTATATTCATTCTTAGTTTCTGTATTCATTCCTAGTTTCTATATTCATTCTTAGTTTCTATATTCATTCCTAGTTTCTGTATTCATTCCTAATTTCTGTATTCATTCCTAGTTTCTGTATTCATTCCTAGTTTCTGTATTCATTCCTAGTTTCTGTATTCATTCCTAGTTTCTATATTCATCCTAGTTTCTGTATTCATTCCTAGTTTCTGTATTCATTCCTAGTTTCTGTATTCATTCCTAGTTTCTGTATTCATCTTAGTTTCTGTATTCATTCCTAGTTTTTGTATTCATTCCTAGTTTCTGTATTAATTCCTAGTTTCTGTATTCATTCCTAGTTTCTGTATTCATTCCTAGTTTCTGTATTCATTCCTAGTTTCTGTATTCATTCCTAGTTTCTGTATTTATCTCTAGTTTCTGTATTCATTCCTAGTTTTTGTATTCATTCCTAGTTTCTGTATTAATTCCTAGTTTCTGTATTCATTCCTAGTTTCTGTATTCATTCCTAGTTTCTGTATTCATTCCTAGTTTCTGTATTCATTCCTAGTTTCTGTATTCATTCCTAGTTTCTGTATTCATTCCTAGTTTCTGTATTCATTCTTAGTTTCTGCACTCATTCTTAGTTTCTGTATTCATTCTTAGTTTCTGTATTCATTCCTAGTTTCTGTATTCATTCCTAGTTTTTGTATTCATTCTTAGTTTCTGTATTCATTCTTAGTTTCTGTATTCATTCTTAGTTTCTGTATTCATTCTTAGTTTCTGTATTCATTCCTAGTTTTTGTATTCATTCTTAGTTTCTGTATTCATTCTTAGTTTCTGTATTCATTCCTAGTTTCTGTATTCATTCCTAGTTTCTGTATTCATTCCTAGTTTCTGTATTCATCTTAGTTTCTGTATTCATTCCTAGTTTTTGTATTTATTCCTAGTTTCTGTATTAATTCCTAGTTTCTGTATTCATTCCTAGTTTCTGTATTCATTCCTAGTTTCTGTATTCATTCCTAGTTTCTGTATTCATTCCTAGTTTCTGTATTTATCTCTAGTTTCTGTATTCATTCCTAGTTTTTGTATTCATTCCTAGTTTCTGTATTAATTCCTAGTTTCTGTATTCATTCCTAGTTTCTGTATTCATTCCTAGTTTCTGTATTCATTCTTAGTTTCTGTATTCATCACTAGTTTCTGTATTCATTCCTAGTTTCTGTATTCATTCTTAGTTTCTGTATTCATTCCTAGTTTCTGTATTCATTCCTAGTTTCTATATTCATCCTAGTTTCTGTATTCATCCTAGTTTCTGTATTCATTCCTAGTTTCTGTATTCATTCCTAGTTTCTGAATTCATTCCTAGTTTCTGTATTCATTCCTAGTTTCTGTATTCATTCCTAGTTTCTGTATTCATTCTTAGTTTCTGTATTCATTCTTAGTTTCTGTATTCATTCTTAGTTTCTGTATTCATTCCTAGTTTCTGTATTCATTCCTAGTTTCTGTATTCATTCCTAGTTTCTGTACTCATTCTTACTTTCTGTATTCATTCCTAGTTTCTGTATTCATTCCTAGTTTCTGTATTCATTCCTAGTTTCTGTATTCATTCTTAGTTTCTGTATTCATTCTTAGTTTCTGTATTCATTCTTAGTTTCTGTATTCATTCCTAGTTTCTGTATTCATTCCTAGTTTCTGTATTCATTCATAGTTTCTGTATTCATTCTTAGTTTCTGCACTCATTCCTAGTTTCTGTATTCATTCTTAGTTTCTGTATTCATTCCTAGTTTCTGCACTCATTCTTAGTTTCTGTATTCATTCTTAGTTTCTGCACTCATTCTTAGTTTCTGTATTCATTCCTAGTTTCTGTATTCATTCCTAGTTTCTATATTCATTCTTAGTTTCTGCACTCATTCTTAGTTTCTGTATTCATTCTTAGTTTCTGCACTCATTCCTAGTTTCTGTATTCATTCTTAGTTTCTGTATTCATTCCTAGTTTCTGTATTCATTCTTAGTTTCTGTATTCATTCCTAGTTTCTGTATTCATTCTTAGTTTCTGCACTCATTCTTAGTTTCTGTATTCATTCTTAGTTTCTGCACTCATTCTTAGTTTCTGTATTCATTCTTAGTTTCTGCACTCATTCCTAGTTTCTGTATTCATTCTTAGTTTCTGTTTTCATTCTTAGTTTCTGTATTCATTCTTAGTTTCTGTTTCATTCTTAGTTTCTGTATTCATTCTTAGTTTCTGTATTCATTCTTAGTTTCTGTATTCATTCCTAGTTTCTGTATTCATTCTTAGTTTCTGTATTCATTCCTAGTTTCTGTACTCATTCTTAGTTTCTGTATTCATTCTTAGTTTCTGTATTTATTCTTAGTTTCTGTATTCATTCTTAGTTTCTGTATTCATTCCTAGTTTCTGTATTCATTCTTAGTTTCTGTATTCATTCCTAGTTTCTGTATTCATTCCTAGTTTCTGTATTTATTCTTAGTTTCTGTATTCATTCTTAGTTTCTGTATTTATTCTTAGTTTCTGTATTCATTCTTAGTTTCTGTATTCATTCTTAGTTTCTGTATTCATTCTTAGTTTCTGTATTCATTACTAGTTTCTGTATTCATTCCTAGTTTCTGTATTAATTCTTAGTTTCTGTATTCATTCTTAGTTTCTGTATTCATTCTTAGTTTCTGTATTCATTCTTAGTTTCTGTATTCATTCTTAGTTTCTGTATTCATTCTTAGTTTCTGTATTCATTCTTAGTTTCTGTATTCATTCTTAGTTTCTGTATTCATTCTTAGTTTCTGTATTCATTCTTAGTTTCTGTATTCATTCTTAGTTTCTGTATTCATTCTTAGTTTCTGTATTCATTCTTAGTTTCTGTATTCATTCTTAGCTTTCTCATTCATTCTTAGTTTCTGTATTCATTCCTAGTTTCTGTATTCATTCTTAGTTTCTGTATTCATTCTTAGTTTCTGTATTCATTCTTAGTTTCTGTATTCATTCTTAGTTTCTGTATTCATTCTTAGTTTCTGTATTCATTCTTAGTTTCTGTATTCATTCTTAGTTTCTGTATTCATTCCTAGTTTCTGTATTCATTCTTAGTTTCTGTATTCATTCTTAGTTTCTGTATTCATTCTTAGTTTCTGTATTCATTCTTAGTTTCTGTATTCATTCATAGTTTCTGTATTCATTCTTAGTTTCTGTATTCATTCTTAGTCTTAGTTTCTGTATTCATTCTTAGTTTCTGTATTCATTCTTAGTTTCTGTATTCATTCTTAGTTTCTGTATTCATTCTTAGTTTCTGTATTCATTCTTAGTTTCTGTATTCATTCTTAGTTTCTGTATTCATTCTTAGTTTCTGTATTCATTCTTAGTTTCTGTATTCATTCTTAGTTTCTGTATTCATTCTTAGTTTCTGTATTCATTCTTAGTTTCTGTATTCATTCTTAGTTTCTGTATTCATTCTTAGTTTCTGTATTCATTCTTAGTTTCTGTATTCATTCTTAGTTTCTGTATTCATTCTTAGTTTCTGTATTCATTCTTAGTTTTCTGTATTCATTCTTAGTTTCTGTATTCATTCATTCTTTCTTTCTGTATTCATTCTTAGTTTCTGTATTCATTCTTAGTTTCTGTATTCATTCTTAGTTTCTGTATTCATTCTTAGTTTCTGTATTCATTCTTAGTTTCTGTATTCATTCTTAGTTTCTGTATTCATTCTTAGTTTCTGTATTCATTCCTAGTTTCTGTATTCATTCCTAGTTTCTGTATTCATTCCTAGTTTCTGTATTCATTCCTAGTTTCTGTATTCATTCCTAGTTTCTGTATTCATTCCTAGTTTCTGTATTCATTCCTAGTTTCTGTATTCATTCCTAGTTTCTGTATTCATTCCTAGTTTCTGTATTCATTCCTAGTTTCTGTATTCATTCCTAGTTTCTGTATTCATTCCTAGTTTCTGTATTCATTCCTAGTTTCTGTATTCATTCCTAGTTTCTGTATTCATTCCTAGTTTCTGTATTCATTCCTAGTTTCTGTATTCATTCCTAGTTTTCTGTATTCATTCCTAGTTTCTGTATTCATTCCTAGTTTCTGTATTCATTCCTAGTTTCTGTATTCATTCCTAGTTTCTGTATTCAGTTTTGTATTCATTAGTTTCTGTATTCATTCCTAGTTTCTGTATTCATTCCTAGTTTCTGTATTCATTCCTAGTTTCTGTATTCATTCCTAGTTTCTGTATTCATTCCTAGTTTCTGTATTCATTCCTAGTTTCTGTATTCATTCCTAGTTTCTGTATTCATTCCTAGTTTCTGTATTCATTCCTAGTTTCTGTATTCATTCCTAGTTTCTGTATTCATTCCTAGTTTCTGTATTCATTCCTAGTTTCTGTATTCATTCCTAGTTTC